ATCCCTGTGAAGTAATGCCCTTGTCCCTTCCAATTTAAAAATTATTAGAAAGACATTTGTTGGGAGCTGTCTACTTAACATATAGTGGCAGATATTTGATCCTAAGAAAATAGAGATACAGCCAAAGGTTTATGTACAGGATGTTCATCTCAGTGTTATTTATAGTAGCAAAATTTTTAAAAACTAAGTGGCCAACAACATGGAATAATGTACATTAAGGTCCAGATGTATGGTGGAATTCTATGCAGCCATAAAATCTTTTATAGCAATAATAATTGAAATGAGAAAATGTTCATGGAATATGTTTAATGGAAAAAATGGTTATCAATCAGAATGTTTACTATGATCCTAAATTATAGAAAAGAAAGTAAATACACATCATATATACATTGTCAGTGCCCTCTTGCCAAGGACCACCAAGACCACACTAAATCATTGACCAAACTGGGTTTCCTTCTTGTTTCAGCAAGGAACACACACCATGGAGAACTAAGAGGTGTCTTAAGAAGAAGGCATTAGAAAGGGCACCTAGGATTCGGGCTTGTGTTAAGTAATTTGGGGGAAGGTTGAAGTCAGTGGGGCTTGCACAGGATCGGGTACCACTAGGAAGCAGAGGTAGTTTTACGTCTGAGTGTCTTAATCTTTTTTCTAGAGGGAGAAAAGATTAGAATGACGCTAAAGCTGTAATATTTTCTTATTTATTTATTTATTTAGAGACAGAGTTTCACTCTTGTTGTCCAGGTTTGAGTGCAGTGGAATGATTTCGGCTCACTGCAACTTCCGCCTTCCAGTTTCAAGTGATTCTCCTGCCTCAGCCTTTCAAGAAGCTGGGATTACAGGTACCTACCATCACACGCAGCTAATTTTTGTATTTTTAGTAGAGACAGAGTTTCACTATGCTGGCCAGGCTGGTCTGAAACTCCTGACCTCATAACCCGCCCACCTCAGCCTCCCAAAGTGCTGGGATTACAGACGTGAGCCACCATGTCCGGTTGTAATTTGTTTTTAAAAGGCCACAACTGGTCCCATCTCTACTAAAATACAAAATTAGCTGGGTGTGGTGGCGGGCACCTGTAATCCCAGCTACTCAGGAGTAGGGCTGAGGCAGAAGAATGGCTTGAACCCAGGAGGTGGAGGGTGCAGTGAGCCAAGATCACGACACAGCACTCCAGCCTGGGTGACAGAGACTCCATCTCAAAAAATAAAAATACCCAAAAAACCATAACTGTCACTCATATTAGCCAGGATGACATGCTTAGCCATTTTTTGTGGTTTGGACAAGGTTCATGCTTTATCTGTTTCCAGATATGATTATGAAATGGTCCTAATTTTGTCTTAGTCCATCACAGTTACAGAATACTCCTACCTGACATTAGTGTTTCAGGAAATGGTTTACGTTCAGTGAGAGAACACCAAACTTAGTTGTGAGTGCCAGGCTAGCTCCTGAATGCCAGGGACTGATTTTCTTTTCACACATGTGTGTAGAATAGAATTATGACAAATATCATTTATTATATGTCAGCGATATTTCAGGCTGTAGGCACTGTTTTAAGTGCTTCACATCTTCTAATCTATTTAATCCTCACAGCAGTTCTATGGGGTTGGTATTGTTATTCCCATTTTCCAGAAGAGAAAAACTGTGCCATAAAGAAGTAAAGATACCCATTGTATTTTAGCTAGTAAATAGTGGAGCAAGGATTCAACTCAGTGGCTCCAGAACCAAAAGACTCAACTTCTGTATTATATTGCCTATGTGTACAATAAATTATCAACAACGGTTGAAAGGTAGTGGGAGGACACCAATACAAGTGTTTTGGTTTCCTTCTTTTTCTTACTTTCCAAATTGTCTAAAATTAATATGTATTCATTTTAAACTGAAAAGTAATAACTTATCAATGTTCCGGTGAAAGTTCTGATCACAAAGTCATTGGCCCAAATGCAAACCTAAGTCTTTGGTGGAGGCAATGCTCCCAGAACTTCTACAAAAAGGGAATAAAAATCGGGAGGGGGCAACACCCTTCCTGCACTCTTCCATGTGGTCTCTCTCTCTCTCTTTCTCTCTCTCCTCACTCACTCTCTCTGCTGCTCCAATTCAATTTAGACAACACTAACTGGATTGCCTGCAGTAAAAGGTGGCCCAAGGTCCACACTCACTTGGTTCTGTCTCCAAATTGAAACATACAGGGTGGGAGCACCCCTAAAGATACGTAAGGACAGTTATGAATAGAGTAGGGAGGACTAGAAACAAATGCCTTGGCCCCAAAGGAAAGGCCTTTTCTGTGTGGGAGGACAACACTCTCACCCTAGCCAGCTGAGCAATGCAGTTTCTCCTGCTCTAAGATGCAGTCCAGGCACTGAGGGAGGGCACTCCGTTCTTCAGCCCTTGTGAGGGCTGACATTAAAAGGCCGGAAATTCTAGGGACGAGGGCAAATCGAGGTTGGGAAGGAGCCATTTGGAGGGTCAAAGACTTCAGAATGAAAAGAGCTTCGTCAAAATGTTAAAGACGTCCAAGGAGACCTGTCAGCTGGTTTACCTTCTGTTACTTTTGTCCCTGTGCTCGCATCAGGGCACCTAAAACAGCTCTGTTCATTCCCTGTGCAGAGACCGATTTTAGGCCTCCTGAGAAGTGCCCACCCACTAGCTGCTGCTGGCTCCGTTGCAAAGAGCTGGGTTCGCAGTATTTCCCACCGCCACCCCTCCTCCCCGCCCTTCCATCTTTCCGTCTGCCCGGGCTGAGAGCCACGCGGGGCATCCACCCTGTCGTTTAGCACCTCAGCTACGCAATGGTGGGTGGTTTCCCAAAGCGTATGCCCTCGCAGCCACTCACGCTCTCCCGGCCGCTTGCAGGGGCACAAGTCAATGAGGTTTTTCCCTCCGCGATCATCGTGAATCAGCAAAGCGCTGCAGAACAGCGGCATGTCCGCAAGCAGAAATTAAGATGCTGGAGGAATGGCACAAGTGCAGTGTGGCATGGGGAATTTCTAGCCCCTTCTTATGTGTCCCTCCCAGGGATGGCAATACTGGGGGTGGGGAGCCCGCTGGAAGCTGCTGGACTTAGGCGTCCTGGGGAGCCTTTGGCAACAGAGCAGTGTGGGGAATAAGGAGGAAGAGCACAGAAAGTGGATGAGAAATGGGTGGAAGGATCTGGGGAACACAAGCAGGGCAGGGCAGGTGTGCCCCCTGGGCGGGCAGTGCAGCAGGTGCAGGTGTTGCTGAGGAAAGGTAGGAAGGAGGGTCTTGTATGGGGGAAGGAAGGAGATCATCAAATAAGGAGGATTTCCCAAAACGCGACTTCCTGTTTCCAACGTGCAAGTTCCCAAGTTCAGTTTGAGAAGTGAAGGGCTAGGTGTAGGGGAGTCTGGAATGGGAACATTAGGGAAATGCCTCCCGGAGGCACCTTCTCCTACCCATTCTCCTCTTTCTTTCCCCACCACTCCCCTTCCTCCTCCGTCCCTATTCCATCTGCCTTCAGCTTTGATTAATATGCATGTCTAGCTCCTCAGTGCCGGCCACCGCCTCCCATTCGACCCCTAGCACTGGGAGGCTGAGCTGGAGGCTAAGCGCTCCAAGCACGGAGCCTGAGGACCCCTCGCTGTGCCCTGGACCCCACCCCCCTGGCCTGAGGGAGCCCCTCAGTGACCCAGACTCCGAGATCCCGCTCGGTCTGCGTTGCTGTGGACAGACCCAGGAGCTTGGAGCGCGAAATGAAACGCGCTAAATTGTACCTGTGCGTGGCCGTTCCTGCCGCCGCCGCAGGTCTTTCCCCGGGCCGAAGCCGGCGCCCGCCTTCTCGGGGAATTCTCCGGAGGGGGAGTGCGAGGGGAACCACGGTGACTGCCTGCTAGCTCACGGCTGGCGCGCACACGCACACACCCAACTTTGCCAAGCCATCGGCGCCCCACGGGCTCCCCCGCGCCCCCTGCGGCTCAACACACTCCAAGACCTGTATCTCTCCTGGTCTGAGATAAGGTTCCCTCCACTCTTACACCTTCGCGGGTGGGGGAGGAGAGGGCGGAGTGAGGCAGAGAAGGAGGTTAACGCTACTGACTCCCTGGCCAGCCTTTCTCAAACACTCTATGCCCGCAGGGGAGCCCGCGCCAGCCACGCCGCACCAGGTCCCCCAGACCTGCTGGTGACGACAAAGAGAGGAGGAGGAGGAGAAGGTAGGGCGAAGAGCCGCCCGGGAGCCCGGGAGCCCTGGCGACAGACAGTTCTATCGACTGACCGGCAGTATCAGCACTTTTATTACTAAAGGACTGGGTGGGGAGGTTGGGGGGTGTGCAACAGAGCTGGCCAGCCCCAATCCACTCTGGAGCAACCCTAAATGAAGGCCAGAAAGATTCTCCAAGGATACCTTTTGAGTGGACGTGCTCCAGACACACAGCCGGACCCCTTGGTCCCGCCGAAGCTACAGTGTTGGGGATATTTTAAAGGGCTCTTATTTGGGAGGAGGCGTGATTTCCACCTTCGAGCGTCTTCGCTCCCCACCCCCTCTCGGCAACAGCCAGTGCGCGCCACCACCTGAGCCTAGCGAGAGCCGGGACGCACGCAATCTTCAGCCTGCTCCTTTTCGCCTCTAGGGAGACTCGGCTCTGAGCGGGTCCGCCCGACACCCATCCCCTCCCCCACTCCGGAGAACTCTTTACTTTTTGTTTGGAAAATCAGGGCCATTTCTTTATTTATCTCTGGGTCTTCCCGGAGGAGGGCAGAGAAGGGGAGAGCGAGCTCCGCCGGCCGGGCCGGGGGAGGGGAGCGCACAGAGGGGAGGGGACTGGGTGTAGCCTGGAATTCTCCGTCCTCGTGTTCCTGGGCTGGCGCGCAGAGTCTCCTGGCGCTAGCGCCGTCGCCGCTCCCCGCGCCACCCCATCGTTGGCCTTGGGGGTCGGTGAGTGGGGTCACGATGCCCCGCGGGGGCTGCCACGGGCCCTGCCCGCGCTGAGAGGGGACGCGGCCGGGCGACGTGGCGCCCCCCGGGCGGGGAGGCGGTGGGGGGTGGGGAGGGCACACGCGATAGGGCGGAGTGGGGGCGGCGCAGAGGCCGCCAAGCTGGGGGGCTCTTCGGGAGGGCGCGGCCGCGGGCAGGAGGGCGTGTCTCCAGCCCGAGGGGACCCTCCCGAGGCGCGGCGCGGGACTCCCCGATGGTGGTGCCGCGGCTCCGGGAGAGCTCAGGGTCTCGCCTTCGCCGTTGCCGCCGTCGCCGCCGCCGCGGGCGCCGCCGCCGCCGCCGCCGCCGCCGCCCGAACCCGCGCCGAGCGTGCGCCTCGCCCTCCTCCCGCGCCCGCTCTGCTCTAGGATGCTGCGGCAGGTTCTGCACAGGGGCTTGAGGACGTGTTTCTCCCGGCTTGGCCACTTCATTGCCAGTCACCCTGTCTTCTTCGCCTCGGCGCCGGTGCTCATCTCCATCCTGCTCGGCGCCAGCTTCAGCCGCTACCAGGTCGAGGAGAGCGTGGAGCACCTGCTGGCGCCCCAGCACAGCCTGGCCAAGATCGAGCGCAACCTCGTCAACAGCCTCTTCCCGGTCAACCGCTCCAAGCACCGTCTCTACTCGGACCTGCAGACCCCTGGGCGCTACGGCCGGGTCATCGTCACCTCCTTCCAAAAAGCCAACATGCTGGACCAGCACCACACCGACCTGATCTTAAAGGTGAGAGGGGGGCGGGTGCGGGCAGACTCCGCCAGCGCCGCGGCGGCGGTCGGGCTGGCTCTACGCTGGGGTCCCGGCTGAGAGCGCCACCTCTCCTAGCCCAGGCGGCTGCCGCAGGGGCTCTCCTGCACCGCGCGCCCCAGGGCGGCCGCCTGGAGCCTCCCAGCCTCCTGGGCAGGGAGCGTCGGGGTCCAGGTCCAGCCCTGCCCGCGTCTCCTCTGCCGCCACCCCGCAGCTGCTGCAACAGTTGGGGCGGCGACGGCCACGGTGCTGTGATCGGTGCGCTTGTTTTGGTCGCAGTGGGCTTGGGGGCAGGGAGGCTTTGGGGTAACTGGGCCAGGAAGTAGCTGGAGAGAAGACATTCTGTAAAGTCCTACTACTTGAGAACAAAATACTATGCTCGGAGGGGATTCCGAGGTGCCCCTCTCTGTCCTCAATTTTGTTTCTCCCTTTTTCTGCAGCCCCCGCCCCCGAGTGTTTGGGGAAAGGTTGTTGGTGGGAGAGGTTGGGAAAGGGCAAAAGAATGTGAGGCAGATGGTGAGGAAAGTGCCTCCCACCCGCCCAGAAAGAAATGTGGTCTCTGGTGAGGACAGGGGGCTGCCCTGCTGCTGTCTTCTCCGGAGCGAGGTAGCCATCTCTATCTTCTAGGGTACGAAATTATGTTTGTAATTCGCAGTTACTTCGTCTTTCACAGTAGCTCCTCAAGAAATGGCAAAACTTTGGGAAAAGAGGGAGCCGATCAATCCACTTTTATTTGGGTGCATCTGAGCATGGGGTTGAGGGGCAAAGCCAGAGGGCTGAGAACAGACGTCGGGCTGTGTGGCCCCCGAGAAGAGCATGGGAAACGGAGCAGCTGGTTAGAGGGTGACACTCGCAGAAACCGGTTTTGCTATCAGCTTGAGGTGGGAATTTGGCGTGGAAAGTGAGGTTAATGGTGGTAACTTTCAGGAAGTTCCTAATAAAAGCAGAGGAGTGAAAACTACAGATGGAAAAGTAGAGACCTCAGGAGAGAAAAGTAAAAATAGGTGAGAATGTTCCATCTGAATCCCTGATGGGGATTGTGGGGCTTGTTTACTTAAGGTTCTCCTTTGGGGAGGGCAGACAAGAACCAGTCCCAGCTGGGACTCTGGTGCAGAGGGATGGAAGGAAGGTGATGGTTTTGTGTGAGTCTCTAGTACAGATCTGGTACTAGAAGCCGGTTAGATTTCTAGTCTACTTATCCCAAAGGGAGTCTGCCAGGAAACCTGGGGAACTCTTTCCTCTTCTTTTCCTCTACAGCTAAGTTTATCCCTAGAGACAAGCCAATTTTCATCTATTATTTCCCTCCCTCTGTTTGTTGACATATTATCAATCAGCAATTAGTAATGAGGGGAAGCTGACTAGGGGCTCAGTGGAATTAGAATCTTCCCACACTCAGTGGCTCACAGATCACACATTTACTCATCATAGAGCCTTAATAACATTAATCCTGAGATGTTTGTTTTTCTCATGATTAGACTTCCAGCATCATTGGTTTTTTTTCTTCAATACTTCATTGACTATATTGTGACACACAGATAAATACTGATCCAAAAGCTTTCCCAAGAAAGCATGTAGTAGATTCATCATGGGCATAAGGAAACTATAATTTAACCAGTCCTGACAGTTGGAAATGCTCCATGTTTTGATTGATGATCTACTAAATGATATTTCTCTTTTTGTGTTCTTTTCAAGGTGATGTTTCCATTGGCTTATTCCCCCCCCCCCAAACTGTGACAGGCAGTTACCATTTACATTCACTCTCAAGGTTAATGAGACATCAACAAGCACATCAGATCTCTTTCAACTGGATTATTTCTTCCCTATTTGATTTTGTTCAGTTCAGGACAGAAAACAGTATAAGAGAAGGCTGAAACTGGAGAGAGGGAGGCTTGGCTTTGCCTCCATGTCTAAAGGGCAATTTTAAAGGACAATGGTCAAGTCAGTGGATTGTTTTAAGAAGTGGGAGGGTTTTTCATCTTCTAGGTGTCTGAATAAAATCCAAACCAAGCCTAATAGTGATACGAACTCTTTTCTAGCTGATGACTCTCTGGTTAAATGAGTGAATACAGCTTATAAAAACCCAGACTTATGAAACCAAGGGAAATATCTTCAATTTTAAATGATATATTCAATGTTTTCTTTCTGCATCCAGCCCTTATTTTTGGTAGGTATGGAGCCAGGGGACGGGAAATGGACCTTCAGTAGTCATGGTAATGTAAAGTGTGGGAGTGAGCACTTATTTTTTTAATTTTGTTTTTCCATTTAGAGACATGATGACTTGTCCTTTACAAAAGGTGTCAGGAGTGAAAGAATCACTGCTGTTTTCGTTACTAGTGTTATTCTGATACCTCATTACTGGCATCAAGGATAGCATTGACAGTGAAAACTGTACACACCACTGAACAGTCCCTGCCTGTTTAATGGCATCGTATTTGAAATGAAGTGAAGTGGACAAAGCATAAGGAGGGTCTGAGGCTTTTTCAGACCCCGGTACAAAACAGAGGAAGTGACTTGTAGGGTGTTGCTTCAAGCATGAAGAGTAGACCCATTCTCTCCTCTTAATGTTTTGGGCTTGTACCTGCTCAGTGAAGGCGGAGATCCTTCTTGGGATATTGGTCCTGCTATTTGCTGACAAAAAAAATAGACTGGGAGGGAGTGATGACAGAAAACGAAAAGCCCGGTTGACGTTTTTAAATGTAATTGAGGGTATTACAGAAAAATATCTGTATTTGAAAATCCAGCTGATATGGTTTGGAGGAGCTTTCTCGAATTTGCGCAAGTGATATGGTTATCGTACTCTGACACTGTAGCATAGAAGTTGACCCCACACCGAGAGGCAAGACTCTTCCCAGCACTGGTTTACCCAGAAGGCTACAGGGCAAAGATGTAACATTAGGCAGAAGTGGGTAGGACCTGATGGTGCTGATAAGGGCTCAAGCATTAATTTCTGAACCTCTTTAAATAAATGCTCTTCTTCAAACATCTTCCTTTTCCTAGAAAATTAAATCCAGCTGATTAGATCTTTTAACAGAAAATCCATGATGTTCATCTCAAAGCAAATTTCAAAGTAGGGCCTCACTAGCTTTTATAGATACGTTTCTTTGCGATCACCTAAAATGAAGTGTAAGTAGGTCCCTTTGATAATTGATCCAGGGTGTTAACAAAACAATACTCGATATTCCAGAATCATCCATGTAAAGTCAAGAATCAGTACAGCCCAGTACTTATGATAATGACATCATCTTTATAGGACCTTATAGGTTATAAACATACAGTATGTTTAAATACAGTAAACTAGGAAAAATGCTATATCCCATTTTACATATGAGAAACTCATTAGAAGTTAACTGACTTGACCATGGAAAAAAGACAAGGCTAGAACCAGAACCGGACTGGATCCAGGGTTTTGGACTCCAAGCCTAGTGTTTTTTTCACTATAGTTTACTTTCATATGATACACTACTTGAATGATTTAAAATGTACATTTTAGTTATCCAAATGAAGTACAGTTGACCAAAGTTTTATATCCCACCCCATACAGTTGTTCTAATAATGGTAATTAGATCATAAGGATATTTTCTTGATTGATTCTGTCTGGTGTTAATTAAAATCCACATACAGAAACTACAAATGCCCAAAGTAAAGCATAACATATATGTAATAATACACGAGGATAGACAAATATTTTATTAGAAAAAAATCTCTGGATGATTGAATGTAGCAGCTTCCTGACTGAGTGCTGCTTATTGGCAGGGTTCAGGTGGATTGAACTTTAGTGCCTTACACAGTCCCCAGCACATAGTAGCTACTCAATAAATACTTGTTGAATAGACCCTCCCTAGTTTACGCAGACATCTATGTGATGAGTTAAGGAAAATTCCATAAAAACAAATTTGAAATGTATTTGTATAGTGAGATTTTAATTTTTCCAACTTTAGAGACAGTTTCTAGAATTCTTTGTTTGCAAGATATCATTCTTCCCTCCTTAATAACCTCTGTAGTCACATCAAAGCATATTTCAGTTTTAAAATTAAGTAGGGGCATTTCCTTTGTAGAAAGTCCTCATCTTCAGAGGAAACTCATAGGATGCTTTATTCCAAACCACGGAAAGGACACATCCTCACTTAGCAAACATTCTTCCATATACTAGATCTCATTTCCTTCAAATATCAAGCTTCTGTTTTACTTAAACCTTTTATGTTTAAATACATTAAAAAGAATTAAGTTGCAAACAAGATTAATAAAATCTAACTTGAAGTTACTTACTTCAGGCTTTCCAAGAAGGGCAGCATAACTGCTAGCTCAGGGTCACAAAGCCTGAGTAGCTGGATCAAGGTGACAGCTTTTCCATATACTGTCTCAGTGCTTTTAATCATTATGCGAATCCCCATCATTTCTTTCTCTACGGTCTAAGGATCAGCAAATTTCAGCATGTTTTTGAACTTAGATGGAGTTTTTACAGTTTTAAAGGATTATAAACACAACAAAATAAAAACAAAGACCATATAGCAGAGACTGTTCATGGCTCACAAAGCCTGAAAGATTTGCTATCCTTCACGTTAAAAGTTCCTATGCTGTATTCTATAACTCCATTACTAGAGCACTTTCAAGAAGTTAATACTGTTAACCTGTAAGGCAATAGTTCCCAACCAGGGCTGACTATGCACCCACCCAGGGGACATCTGGCAATGTCTGGAGACATTTTTGGGTATCACAACTTGGGAAAGAGGCATGTGCTACTGGCATCTAGTGGGTAGAGGCCAGGTTTGCTGCTAAACATCCTGTGATGTATAGCATGGCCTCCACAACAAAAAATTGTCTATCCCCAAATGTTAATAGTGCCAAAGTGGAGAAATTCTTTGCCTTGCATGTTTGTTTTTTAAAGATTCTTTTTGGCTATATTGATTATGTAAAATGAAAAGATGCCAAAGAGAAGTTCATAGAACTCTAGGGACAAATATTATGACCTTTGAGGTGAT